TAATCTCTGAGCCTGAGAAGCAGAATATTTCAATCTCACATTTATCTACTACACTAATGTGCAACTTCTCAACTTTTACTTGGTCCAGAAAGATTAGAGGCATATTTCTACTCCCTTATCCAGATTACACACTGTGAGTGTCTACAAGCAGTAAGCAAGATGCTTATTACACAAAATAATATGTATAAAGCAAAATTAAGATTTGTATTAACATTCCTTTCTCAGACACAGAGAACATAATTTCTGTTGATTCCTTTTTACAGTGCTAGACGTAGTATTTTACAACATGCTGCTATTTAATTTCTTTTTCATTTGCTGCTAAACATTTGTGTTCTGATCATATTGAGTAGTTAAAATACCATTTAAAAGTTAGGTATAGGGAACTAGATGGAATACTCAACAGTTTTTATGACACTGATGATAAAACCTTGGGGTTTTTTGCATGGTAGATAATCCTTTCAACTTAGGCTAACTCTTTCACATTCAATTTGGATTTAGTCAAATTCTGCCCTGACTTAACAGCTTAGTAGTCCAAAGTGCTGACAACAAGGGTTGCACTGGAATAACAAAGAGCAAAACTTCATCTTCTGTCTTCTTTGAGTATAGTTAATTCCTAGTTAACGCAGGAGGATTGATCTCAATTAAAAGAGGTTAATTTTCATTTTGAATCAGTGTTTCAGATGATCTGGTGGCGTTTATTTAACACTTGTAATATCAGGAATGACTCTTTCACCTGAGATTATAGCTGAATAGTCCCTCAACCCCACCTTCCTAAAACTCTGTGAGACTTTTGCAACACCACACTTCTGACTCCCTGTCTTCTCAGCAGTTTTTCTCTCACCTGCCATGGAAATATATTCAGTCAGAAAAAAGCAGCATTTCATCTCCCTTAGAAGCCTCCCTGAGCATATTAGTGTATTATGTCAAATTATCTGACATGATTTACAAATAATCCAAGTATCCAAGTGTTCTCTCTCTTCTCTGTGGCACTAGTAAATCATAGCAACATCCTCAGAAAGGGCATCTGCTGCTCCTCTGTTTTAGAGAGGGTTAGACAACATTCTGCAGTCATAGCACTGCTTTACAGAAGGACTACTCAAGTTCATGAAAGGCCCACTTCTGGGCAGACAAGAAACGTGAACCACGAGGCACCCACTGTACTTGTGTCAAAGTTTTATGTTCTCTCTCAACCCCTAGATAAACAAGAAGCCACTCTTGATTACCTACTCCTTGGTTAAGTAACTTGCTTCTCAAGGAAGAGACTAGGAGATTTGGGAAAGTGAATGAAAAGACAGTATAAAGTTCTGTCACGTTCTCTCTCTTTTTGCTCCATACAGAACCAACATACGCACAGCTGCTTCTCAAGCATGATTTAGAGAAGGCTGCTCATGTTCTCAGCTAGTTGTACAATGAACATCTTCAAAATGTGATCAAGCTGGCTAGAAATATAAGATCATGACATCAAAATGTCAGTTCTATAGTGAAAATATGGCTTTCACATGCTGCTGGCTTCAAAGCTCATCAACAAAACAGAAGAAATCTGTACTTGGAGATCTTCATGTGAAGTATTACCATTTGCAGTTGATCAGAAGTACCAAATCATCTTTTGTTTAAAAATATACATATATATGTTTAATAAAATTATCAAACTTGTGAATTTAAGACATTCCAGAAAAAAAATAGTAGATATATTTTTTCTGACACAGATTCTTGTTATGGAATTTAATGGAAATGTTACTGCTAAACTCTCAGAAAATCTGCACAAAACTGTACAGATCTACAGGGACAGAGAATAGCAGACTCTCCTAGGGAAAGGTTTCATTATCCTTACACAGCTTGATTTTTTTTACACTACGTCTGCGCATGCTTCGTCATTCTGCCATCTGCTGTAACAAAATACAGGCAAAGCATTTTTGAAAATAAGCCCTCTGCACGTTAAAAATGCTCCCACCCTTCTCACAAGCTGTTGAGCTGATTATCCTCACCTCCTCATTCTCCCTTGGCCCCACCATCACATGCTTCATGAATTAAATACATGTACCAAGCAGGGAGAACATAGAATCCCATTGATTTTGCCACAATGTTTCTATTAAATGAAATGAATAGTCATGCATTTTACTTTACTGTGTAAATGCATCTACTGGAAGGACAGAAATATCACGTCATTACCATTAAATTCTTAATTTTAGGACTCCCAGTCAAATTTATTTCTTGTTTGGTATTGTTTCCAAATACACAATGTATAGCGATGTTGATTGCTATAGCACTGAAATTATAGAGTATAAGCAGAGTAGTTTTTAGTGCACTCTCTGTACAGTCAAAGTTTTTTCCTGGTGCAGCAGCACAAATCTCTTGGTAGCAGTAAACTCTCTACACATACTGCATTCCCGAACACATGTTCAAAGGTGATAAAATAAATGCAGATGGTTTCCCAAAACCTCAGAGGAGTGTTTTTTACTGTTGCTAAATGGACTATAAAAAAATTGGGAAAAAACTGGAGAAAATTTACTTTGACACAGAAAGGCAATTTCAGAATAGCATTCAGTCATTTGGGAGAAAAGCTAAATAAAACGTGTGTTTATAATGATCTATTGGCAAAATAATATTGACAGAATATTGAAACTGCCTAATAGGAATGAGTTTCAAAATACTTAAAATAAGTATTGTGAGCTGAGTGTTTTCTTAACTACTTAAACATATGAAAATGTCAGATAAGGAACTTTTAATTCAGTGTGCCATCACTGGAGCTGACAATAAAATCATCCCAAGCTACAGGCAAAACAGAACTAAGCTTTAACAAATTTATTACAGGCTTTGTTTACAAACTTGTTACAAAATTATACAGCATCTTATGTGTACACAGGTTTTACAAGAACATGTGACTAATGAGTGCAATTGCTCTGCTCTCTGATTGAGATCTGCAGGTTTCTCTTCCATGATGGCCTGATGCAGCTTTCCCCACAGTATTTTTTTTGTTGACTTTGATGGAATTTGGATCACATCCAAAGTGTAACACTTCTGTTCATTTCTATACTGAGGTAAGAAAGAGGCAGCTGATCTCATAACCTTATGCTCCCTGTTTCTTTCCTATTTAATATGTTTCAGATGATTGGTGTTATATTTGCTTTGATGTGTTTTTGCTGGGCACTTAGAAAACACTCAATGTATTGGTGATGTTAAGAATTATAATGACTTTCTTTAACTAAAATAGCAAATTGTTTTCTTTAGACCTATGAGGAATGATCATTTTCAGTGGTAGAAATAATTAGATTAGAATCAATTCTAATTTTAATTACATTGCTTTAATAATACATTCTCACCTGTATCTAGTATACTGTCTCTGGATATATAGTGATGTGAACAAGAGCACCATCCACATTCCAGGAACAATGTAGTCACCAATTAATGGGATGTAAGCAACAGTGTCTATCCAAGTTCAGAGGATGCTCTTCTTATATAGATATAGACCAAATTGATACATGGAAGAGTGAAAACCTCTGAAGTCAATAATAGATGACAATATCTGTTCTCGGCTATTCACTATATCTGAAAATAATCTCTATTTGGAAATTTTGGATGTAAAATTAGATTTTTAACCTGGAAAATTTTTCAGTGGGACAGTCCTCTTAAAAATATGCTTCTCCTCACAAACAGAAAAATTGATAGTCAGAGGTTATTGTAACCTACAGTTACAAATAAAAATAAAAATAGCACAAGATCTGTTGAGGGTTTTCTTTTGTTTGTTTTCCAAGGAGGGAGAATTCAGAAAAAAAATCTAATCACAGATTAGATACTGAATTGCTTGTTATATCATCTCTTCCCTTTTAACCATTGCCTTCGTACTAAAACTGAAGCTATTACTGCTTGAAGCAAAGTTAGCTTCTAGTCCATTGAGGTGATTACTTTTCCTCTGAGGTAAATACCCTGGCTTCATATTGAAAACTGAGAGAATTCTCAAAAAAACTTTTTGTTTATGGCCTCCCCTCCAGAATTACACCTCCATGCTCCAGCCTAGTTTTCAGTGTCAGCTATTCCCTTGCTTCTGCTCGTGAGAAACCTGTCCATTTTATGATGTGTAGGGCTCTCTGCAAGGGATTAGGGGAGACCACACAATTTGTTACATTGATCACCTGTTACAGATTCAAAGTTGATTCTCCAATAGTGAAAATTATATGAATAAAGGCACCTTATCACCATATTTTGCATACTCTGATCTCATTTTCACTTCTGATGTGTAACATGCAACAGCAATGAAAGCCATAATGTAAAAATTTAAGACCACTATAGCTGCTTTTTTGAAGGGCTTTGTTTTGAGCACTGATTGTGGATTAAGAATTAGCTAGGGACAAATAATTTATGTGGTTCAATCTTAGTTCTGTTGACCAAAATCTATGACATGATTCTGATTTACTTTTATCACAGTAAGATACCATCCAGTGCATAATATAGCTAATGCAGAATGGCCCTTATCTTCAGGTAGAATAATTATTAGTGTCCCCACTGGAAGTACATGGTGATGCAAAAAATAATTTGAGGTATTTGTTAGCAAGTTTTCCTGCCCTAACCACAAACCTGTGTGAGTAAATAACTCTATTATAGCTATGGTTTACCTGAATTTTAATGAAAGTATGGCTCAAAAAGAAAATCTTCTATGTCTCTGTGAAAGGTACCAGGTTTGCTGTGAGCTTCCACTCGATTTTCCCTCCATTTAAAACAAGGACTGTGTTACTGAGGAGAACAGTTTCATATGAGTGTGTGGCTTTGATAGCCATCCTAGGATATAATCTCTTTCTTTATTATAATTCTTAAGCCAAGAGCTTTTTTAACATAAAGACAACACTGACTTTGTTTCTAATTTTAAAATGCAGACAGAGAAGAATGATGTAAAAATTAATCATGAGATAATAGATTAGTGTAGAAGAAAAGGTCAATCACAATAAATGCTATATCCAGAAGAAATAATCATTTATGTATTAATGATCCATTTAGATCTGCTCTTGGTCTCATTAGTTTAGTTACAAACACTTTAGATTTTTAAAATATTGTTTCTAAGATTAATTGTCAGCATTAGAAATAGTTGCAAAACTAATGTGCTTTAAAAACAACAGTGGTTGCTGGATTATAAACAATCATCCTGAAATGCTAACAGGGAAAATGGTCATTTCATTGACAAAACTGACACAATAAAGATAAATTGTATTTTACAGCTACTTGACGACTCTGACAACAACATCGGCTACAGGCTACGACTCATATTTTAGTTCTTTTCTGTTTTAGTGTTGATACTGAATCCAATTAAATGTGAGTGTATAGTGAGAGATACAAATATGTACACAACTCTTGACACCAATCTGATTTTTAACAAGTTTAGTAAATAACTGTCACTGGTTTGACTATACTGAATGAAGAATACTGATTTTACACAGATTTTACAGTCAGGTTATGGTGTTCTGCCAACAGACAGTGTCACAAACATAGTCTAAAGAAATCTGGAGTTGCCCATAGCAGAGACTTGTTTATTGAGAGAGAAAGCTTATATACTGTAGATTTGCTGAAGTTTAATAAATAAGATCAACTTATAATATATAAAACAATATAAACATTTATATGCTACATGCATATCATATAATTTAAAGTAATAACTTATATAGCAAAGAGATGCAGATTTATGTTCTTCCTATTTTTCTTGACAATGCACACACGCAGGAGGTGTCTATTCTTATCCATCTCCAGCCTACAAGTTTATTGTTTTCTGAAGTCAGTGCTCTAACATAAGTTTGGGATGTCTTGCATTGCGAGTTCCAGTGCTTGTCGTCAATGCCTCGGCATCCATTTTTAACAGGTTTGGCTTCTTTACACCTTGTTTCATAAAAATATTGCTTAACTGGAGAGTTGCCTGTTTTAATTTCTCCCAGCACAGTTACCTGGTGTCCTCTAATGTCAATAGCAGATGATTTGTCCGTGACCCATAAGCTTTCACTGTCACAAACAGAATATTCCCCTCGGTGGCTCTTGTGTTCTGCGTACCTTTTCCTTCGAGATGTTCTGTTTAATACCACTGAATTTCCAACATAATCCTCTGTGAGGTACAGTGGTGGTGGTTGCAGTGGTGTGTTGTCACTCAGGAGAACTCGAGGAGAATTGTAACGTCTCTGCTGCCTTAAGAGGTCTGTATCCATTGAAATAACTGGCTGGAAGTCTGATTTCATATTTTCATCTCCATCCATCTCTTGGTGATCCTCTACTTTCTGCACTATATTTTGATAGTTTTCCTTGACATCTATCGTCTGCTTAGAAAGCTTGTTCTTCAAAATGTCTGCCCGAATTAGTTTAATAATGAGAGAATTCATTGAATCTTCTGGCAAACTCCTTTGATCCATATTGTTTGACTGAATGCCACGAAGATATGCAAGAAATATCACATAAAACAAGATGGACATCACCTTGTTCACCTGTAAGATCTACAAAGAAACAGAAAGTCAAGATAAATAAATGCAGTGTTTGAATAGTGCTCTCTCACTCATGCTATGAGATAGAGTACTCTTGAAGAGAAAATACACAGTTAAGCTGTAAAGTGCTGTTTCTTATATTTTGAACATCGGAAACCAATTTTTAGGCTTTTATAATACAAGTGGGAAGTCCAGATAGATCCACTGAGCACTTTTTTTGTGGTTCTTTTCTGGGCTGCGGCCTGTTTGCTATTTTTCTTTTTTTAATGAAGTTCCCTTGTTTCATGAGTGGAACAAAATAGCTAGAAATATTCATGGACAGAAGGAAGACTCTCTCCCCACTCCTCTTGAAAATGAAGAGTCTTGTTCAAACATATCAAAATGAACTCAAGACTGAAATTTTGAAAACTGTGCATCCTGTGCTTCTTTTTGTACTGCATTTTAGCGATACTATGCTTAATGTGGATTCCTGTATTGTTTATTCCTAATTCTAGCTTCTCAGTATCTTCTGAAAGCCCTTTGGCCACTTCTGGTTTAATCTTTCTATCATACTGTAGTTGAGAACTATAAGCATTTTTGGATAACTGTTTATTTTGTATTGAATTGCAATTGAATTTAAATGAAACTAATATTCAATGTCAAATAAAAGATCATGGAAGAAAACCATTGACTTTGAAGTAGACTATCTGAAATTTTTACACAGGCAGTGAACTGAAGATGAAAATATTAAACTCATGTTGTTACAGAACTGTCATACCATGTGAGAGGCCCTGGGTGAAGTACTGCTTCAAGTGACTGAAAAAAGTCTTGAGATTAATTCTCCTACACTGCAAACTAGTCCACCATATTTCAGTTTTCTAGCATTCTGGAATGAAGTCACAGACTCAAAAAATTGCAGAACAGCTGACGTTGCAAGGATCCTTAGGAGATCATCTAGTCTAATATTTCTTCTCAAACCAGGGTCAGCTGGAGCAGCTCACACAGCACTAAGTCCAGTCATTTTATTAATATCTTCATGGATGAGCAGTCTAAAACCCATCCAGGCAATCTGTTTCAGTGTTTTATCACCCTCATTGTAAAAAAAAAAAAAAAAAAAAAAAAAACCTAAAAATATCACTTCTTTCAGTAGTTTCTTCTATTTCAGTTTGTGCCCATTTCTTCTTGTCATTGTATGGAACACACTTGATAGAGTTTAGCTCCACCTTCTTTACTCTTTCCCAGTAAGTATTTCTACACCTTGATAAGATCCATCTGAGTTTCTCTCCTCTGGGCTAAGCAGTCCCATCTTTCTCAGCCTCTCTTTGTATGACAGTCCCTTAGTCATCTTTGTTTCGGTATGTCCATGTCTCCTGTACTAGGGTGCCCAGAACTGGACTGAGCACTGCAGATGTGAGTAAAGCAAAAGAATTACCTCCATTGACTTGCTGGTAACGTTTTGGGTACTGTGCATTTTCTCAGAATAAACTGCAGAGAAATCTGACCTTCTAAAATAAAAATTTCTAACAAAGCATTTTCTGTGTAAGAAGGAAAAAAAAAAGAAAAAAAAAAAAAGAGGAAAAAGGGGAAAAGGGAATGAAGCAAAACTTGTTTTAGCAACAGTGAGTCCCCTCTTAATAGTTTGGAACTGCAGCAAAATCAGAGCTACCCTCTGTGGATATCCTTTTATGGACAAGAAATGCGTTTTCTCCATTCTCAGTTTGTCACAGTATGAGTTCGCCTAAATCTAGACAGTTGTTTGCAGCAAAGCTATGCTTTGAAAGAAATTCTTAGATTTTCAGTTAACATGCAGTTACTGTCATACCTAAATAAATACTAACTTCATGTAGATGGATCTCAGAGCCGAGACTGACCTGTATAAAAGATCTTTTCCTGTGCAATTTAGCTTGCCCTTGGTAAATTACATTCCTTTATAAAACAGAAAAGACATTTTAAAACATGTGTCATTCAGCAGATTTCTCATAGCACTCAGAAGAACTAACTCACACATAATATGACACACAAGGCCATAGAATGGTTAGGAAAGCTCTGAGAACACTCTGCTCAAAAGCTGAAAGCATTATTCATGCCAGCATGCAGCTGCATGTAATCACTGGTCTGCTTCATTTCAAAACTAAGTGGCACTAACAAAATACACAAGTTGGAGCAGGTGATGAGGTGAGAAAAGTAAGACTAGAGTTCCTGCAAACTCCATTTAATATCATACTGCACACAGACAGAGTTAGAGACCTCAAAATCAAATCAGATAAAATAAACTCTTTTTTCTTACCCATGGCAGAACTATGTTAATGGTAAAAATCTTTTGTTGAAAAATATTTTGTTGAACCAAAAATAAAATGTCTTATAAATTTGGTGGGAAAAGTTTATACTACTCTGAAATTTAACCTGCAGTTTATCTTAATAAATTATGTGCTACAAAAAGTAAATTGTCTCAGAACAAATCTTTACAGTTTTCTGACATACTTTGGGGACAAGAATTTGGAAAGAAAATACAAAGTTTGGGCTAAAGAAATTACAGTTTTTTGGGAGTTACTACGAGACAGTTTTCCTAGGAACTGTTTACCTGTGAAGATAGTGGTGTACTCAGAAATTCCAGTCCAGAAAGATCTGTGACACACAACCTACTTGACATTAAGGTATATCATCTTGCCTGACTTAAGTGAGTCCTCAGTATATATTGAGTATAACCATACGTAAAATTGAATCAGGATAATTATCTTTCTGTGCAATATGTACTATACCTGACCTTTTTGTTCTGTGGTTATAGAAGATTTTAGAAATATCAGTTTGAATCTGAAAAAATCGACCTACCATCTTCTCTGGATTTACATCAAAATGTATCCCTTATTGACCTACCTGTTTATGATGAATTCATCATTTGACTAGGAACTCAGTATTGGAAGAACGCAGTGGTAGATAGCTTGATTTACTTTGTGCCTGTAGCCTCCTGTACCTCCAAGTTCCATTTCCATTCCATGTTTTGGTAATTCAGGTAGGGCTGCTGACATATTCTGCAAAACTTTTTTCCTGAGCTGCTGAGAATCTTTGGATTAGGTTTGCTTTCATCTTTTACTATTCTATGTAGTCTTCTAGCTATTTGGGATGCAGCGTTGATGCTTTGAGCTACTGCTAGACTCTTGCTAGACGTGGGTACATGGTTCAAAGAAGCCATTAAATATGGTCAGAAAACACTGTGCTATGTGAAATTTGGAGAAGTAGTTGTCATCAAAGTAGGAAAATATTCAATTCTTCATATTTATCCCTTTGTATAGTGTCAGTCTCCCCTTACTCAGAGATTCTACCTCAGCTTTCAAAAGTGATTTAAAACATGTCAACAGGAGCAAAGATCCATAGCAGAACTAGAAGTAGAACTAAATGGCAATTAAGCAGTCTGAATGGTATAAAGGTGCTGTCTATCTTGCTCTACAGCTTTTGCTCTGACCAGTTTTTCTTGTATTCCCACATAGAGGACTTACAGGAACAGATATCACACCATGGCAGGAAAGCCAACAAAAACTGATAGTACATAGAGCAGACTGTTAATGTGCGCTAAACAAGTTTGGCTTGGAGACTGCTGACATTCGTGGCATACCAGGTAAAAACAAACAAATGTGATGCATTCCAAAGTTGTTCAATCTTTCAAGTGCAGCTTAGCTTTATTTTATATTAATGGTTTATATTCCTGTGATGTTGACAGGGTATTGATGCTGTCTAGCATATGCGTCTTGCGGAAGTCCTAAATTTAGGAGAAATAAACAATCTTACCTATTATTTGTATTAAGAAATGAAATCCCCCACCAGACTCTGGTAAATTACTTTCCAATCTATTCTGACACAATGCTTTACATAAGATTGGAAGGCTTTCCTTTGTTTTGTTTGTGGTGATTAAAAATAATAAATATCTTTTATTTTGATTACCCTCTGAACAGTCTACACAGCTGAAGCACAAAATGTCATTTAATATGTGCTGTGAAAATAGTGAAACCCTAGTACTGTGAGACACAGCATAAGTATCCACTTTTAAGTTATTGCTCTGAGGAGCCGGAATAGAAGCTGGTGTGACTGGTGAATTTTTCATTCCGCATTGTAATACCCAACGTGATTTATGTAAGTCAGCTTGAAGTATGTGGCACTTTCAAAAAAATTTAAGAGCAGCTTTTTTTTTTTTTTTTTTTTTTTTTTCTAGACTAAGCAATGATCATTTGCAGTGGCTGACAGTTTATTCAGGCTTTTGCATGATAACAGTGCAATTATTCTCATCGCTTGCTAAACTCTCAGAAAACAAGAAGTAACAAAATGCCATTTTCATTTCCTAATCTTTATAACTTTGTTGATAAAAAATGCAGTCCTTACCTTCTGTGCTTTGGGAGGGAGTGAAAATGTATAGAATGAAAAATATTACTGCATTATGAATATTCAGATGGCAGAAGATAGATTATGATATAATTGTACATTAAATATGTGCACATACTTCAGAATAGAAATTGACTATTTGTCAATATCAAATTGACCATCTGTTGTTGACTATATGTCAACAACACATGCCTGTAGGAGAATTTATTATGATAGATGGCTACAGAGCAGTGAGTGCCCCAAGAGATGCTATGACCCTGCTGAACATTTCTGTTTCTCAAGACACAGAAATTTCAACATACCCAGTTTGAAACCAAAGATTTCACAAGAGCCAGGCCCACTAAGAAGCCTAAGAATTCAGACACAAAATAAAGTGGAACTGGGTTATGGCAGCTCTATGTGTTAACTCTCCCATTCTCAGGGCCAACCAAAATGTAAGCTAGAGTGAAGGAACTTGAAACCAATGCATTCCTCCTGTAGATGGGCTGGGGAGTAGGGAAAAACACTGTATCTGAGGAGGAGGGACCCACAGTAGATCAGTAGCTTTTAATTATGAGTTGCTCAAGGCCATTTTCAAGAGAGAACACATCTCAGCACTTGAGTCCCAACAGTCTCCAGTGAGAGGTGTACCAGTTAGAGGTATTGCAGTAATGGAATTAAGC